TGGTAACGGTGATGGTTTCGATGTTTTTAGATAACTAGACGAAACTCAAAATTTGCATCCAAGGGGTACATCTACATTCTGGCTGGCATTCTATATTCTTGTTTGTAGTAGAAGTCACACAGAGAAGGGATGCCAGTTTCGAGGTTCAAAGCTCGATAGGGACAAATCGCAATCTCATCGAGAGTAGTATTGCAGAGGACGCTGATGACAATCTCCCAAAATTTAGTAACTCCTCATGGTTGATCAAATAAACTTTGCTTGATAGTCCGGCTTTGTTCAAAATGTTGTGAAATTTGAATGTATCGTAATACCTCACCTGCATGGCACTTCTTGGACAGTCTAGTTGATCCATACAAAGGGATGATACAGAAACATATGATTTGCATTTGGAATGAAAGACTGAGATCGAAGGAACAAACCTCACCCTACCGTGACTCTTCAGTAAGGTCGCCTGAATATACAACTTCAAGAGACCTAGTAGCACCAAACTAGGATTTACCCCTCTCCTGAAACTGACTGGTTGTAATAGAGTTTATTATGCCAATATGCTAAGTATATTCGCCAAGAATGCGACAGAATTAAACGAGAACGTAGAAATTAGACAAAATGAAAGTGTGTGGTGTTTTTAGTCTACTTCCACGTAACCGGACAAGAGGAGACTCCGGAGAAACCTATCACTCAAATTCTCCCATAAAAACGTCTGACCAATCATTTACTGGCCATTCACTACAACTGACGGAAGATTTGATTGGCTGGCATGACGACGCTTATCACATGAATGTAATAAATTTCGAAGCTAATCGTTCGACTTCTCGCCAAACTGCCCAATCCAATGTCCACTGTTTTAAGCTGTATAGTCACCATCATATGCATCATCGGTGTGGTCTTTAACCTCATCGTCTTCCGAGTCTTGTTTACCGTACGAATAAGTTCTGAAGTGACTAGTGGCCTGCTGCGGTTTGAGTGTTTCATCTGCGCCTGCTCTTGCCTATTCGCTTTGTTATCCACTCACATTCGTATTTCCATTCCATCGGGGCTCAGAATTCTAGATCTTGTAGCATGCTATTGTTGGGAAAATTTTGCTGCCATCTGGTTTTGGATCACATGGAGTATATCTGGTATGGTCTGCCTCAACCTGGAACGTGTAATCGCTATTTATTTTCCCCTAATATATCGAGCACACCCCAGGCGCCTACTTCTAATTGCCGTTATCTACTGGGTGATGATGTGGCCACTGGCCTATGTGTCCATTCCAATACACCGGACTTATTCCAACGGAACTTGTGTGATNATAATTATAACGACATTTTCAAGCGGTTGAGAGTGTACCCTGAATTGTGAGAGAAGACCGTGAAAACTGACTGTCAGATGTTGCTGTAGACTGCACTTATACGATAGAAAGTAGTGAGGATCTGCGTGGAAAGCGCTGCCGTCTGTTCTGTAATGGATGAGCAAGAGGGAGAAGGAAGATACATCTTAGTTTAAACGTGTATGAATAACCAGGTAAGTTTAATCGCAGGGCACTAAAACCTCGCTACTAAACGAAAGTTGAAGAACTAAAACAAGTCAGATGTTGGCTTTTGAATATGTAGAGGCCCATCACTAAAGACGAGACGAAATAGACTGCAACAATCTCACATGGCTGATCAGGTGCCCATGATCTGTTCTTTGAGCCTGTTAGTTGACTTGCATGCTTTTGGTCACCATACAAGGAAATATCATCAGTGCGCAGTTTGATCGATATTCTGATCTTCCTCTTCGAACTGGGTGCTACTTGATCAAAAGAGTTGTATGTTTAGGTTTAGGCAAAAGTTATAAATACATTCCAGGAGGCACGCTTGTTACCCGTGATATGATCCGGTTGTGTAGTATTACTCGATCCACGCCCCTTTCTAAAACCNTGGTATTACCCGATCCACGCCCCTTTCTAAAACCTCCAGTCCCTTGTTTTCGGTGTGTTATATTCATGTGTTACATCCACATCACAATGCTTCCCTGCTAAGCGCCAATAACAGGACCTGAGCTGGCAGAAAAACCCTCTTAATCAAATTATCGAGTCTATCAGGCAGACTGAAGCCTAGCGATGCATTTTTCCGGGTTGATAATTACAGGTGGTCTAGTGCGACTACAGTCCACCTATGAACCGGTTACGAACGGTACTGGTCGGAGCACCCTCAATGCCAGAGGCTTTTTAATGCGGGAAACGTGTACTATCTTCATGACAAGTACAGGCCTATTGTCTTCACTACACAGCCTGATTTTGACGTAATCTAACTGAATTTGTTATCAAGTGACCGCGCTCTCTCCCTTTACCTTCATTACATTTGTAATCCTATACACACTCAACGCTGCATCAGATTTATGCTTGATATAATACAAGTTAGAGAAAGCCATGCAAAATCCGTGTGTAGTACGAGAGCACTTGAAGGAAACCCAGTCGACCTTGAAAGTATTTGTGAGCACTTCCTGGTTGTTATCGAAAGGTCTACTATGCACATTGACGATGTTTTTTGATTCCGAGTATTTGTTGCGTACCAATTTGGCTTGACTCCAGTGAATCCAACCGAATCTCTGTTTTTAATGGTCCTCTTTAAACGAACTGCTGTGCAATTCCATCTCGCGTTTTAGTTAGTGCGACGTCCGTAGAACATCATCTATTAGTTGCACACTACTCATAAGGTCACTGAGAAGAAGGGCCAAACCGGTCATGGGCTACCGAAGAGTATTCAGCGTGTTTTCAGTGCGTTGCTTCCACATGTGAAGAACTGTTCGCACAATAATCTGATGTGAACGAGATAGTCTGTTCGAGGAGCCGTTGATTTGCACAAGTGACCTGATTAGCGCTGATCCATGGGTCTAGTTTGACCGCAACTATTTTAAGGCATTCTTTCCAATAACTCGGCTGGAATACCACTTTCGTATTATCAGGTGGGTATGTGGGACTTGGATACGTCATTTTACTGATGATATTACGGTAACGTGCCTCGAACGTCACGCTTACAGGACATTTTGTCAGACCATGAGCCTTCTTTTGTCTGAATAAGCATAAAAGCCCTGAACGACGGCGATTTCAACATAATGATCACAACCTTGCCTGGAGGGAACCGGTCAGTGTTTCACAGGAATCATCCACAGCACACAGCAAGTATTTGGCTGAGTGAATACGTAGATATGGAATTTCTGCTACATAAACAGCTTTATTGGTTCAGTCTTAAGCATCCTAGTAATACAACTACGGCAGTGAGGGACCAGTTACTCCTGAACGCCACTGCAGATTTTCAATCCATTTTGTAATTCCCCTCTGTACTCCCCATAATAAACGTAGTCTGTGCACTATTTCATTGATTTGCATGGCTTCAAATAAGCTTGTGGTTGCAGAATGTTTAGTCTTTTATATTAGTGCTACGGTAAAATAATCCTCTCATAGGGGTATTTGAGAATTTTAATATCGTTATTCTTAACTGGTTGAATGTTGACGGCCACAACTCCTATTTTAGACTCACCTATCCATTGCAGGGCTTAGCGAATTAGGCCAGCTTTGATCGACCCACGCGGTCCAAAGATATGGTCAAAAGTTTTAATCTGAAACAACCGTCTAAACATGAACAGGTTCACTAATTCGATCAGCCAATTAGCTGAGAAGTATTACGTCTTCCTTGGTGACAGGGCTGCGCACTGGCGCGCACTCGTTTCAACAAGCTTCATCAAATTTTTGTGAGATACCAATTAGAGCAGTTGCCCGACGGTAGCGTAGGTTCTTGAACTAGAGCCACCGGTATCAAAACAATATGCGCCTAATCATGTATTCCGTGGGACGTTAGGTTTCCTGGATTTCGAATACATCAGACACCGGGGTACATGTTATTAATCCAAAACCGCCGTCCTTTGATAGTGTCCATTATTCTTAGGAAACTTCCAGCCCACTTACTTACCTCAAGTCCGCCAGATGTACCACCCTCTGACAATTTATCAGATTTCGCGTGTTTTACTCCCGCAGCATTTCATAAAAACTTCGCTCGCAAATCGCCTGGTCTATCGAAACCACTTGGTCTTGAAAGCAGGACCGTGCAGTAAATTTCATATTGATAAGACTCTCTAGACGCACCAATGCGACCATCTTACACCGAAAGATTTCGCAAGCTTTCAAGGTGGTTACCTGACATACGCATTCGTATCACTAAGTGTCATGACAAAAAACGTTTTGCTTTTAAGTTTTTCTTCACAGTGGGGATGTCGTCAGTTTACCTGAATTTAGTTCGCTATGGTTGAGTACCCCAAAGATGGAGCAGAAAAATTAGTGATGAGCAGAAGGTCTTGTTGCATCTGAGTATTCTTTGTTGTTCACTTGTATCAGTGTATCTTGTTTGTTTCTACGGCTTCTAATAGGACATCTATTTTGAACAAAATTCCAATTCCATGTTTCGAATGGTGGCGCAGTTTGTGTGCAAGTATTACCTGTACCTGGCTTAATAGTATTTTAATTTTTTGCTGATAACGGTGATGGTTTCGATGTTTTTAGATAACTAGACGAAACTCAAAATTTGCATCCAAGGGGTACATCTACATTCTGGCTGGCATTCTATATTCTTGTTTGTAGTAGAAGTCACACAGAGAAGGGATGCCAGTTTCGGGGTTCAAAGCTCGATAGGGACAAATCGCAATCTCATCGAGAGTTGTATTGCAGAGGACGCTGATGACAATCTCCTAAAATTTAGTAACTCCTCATGGTTGATCGAATAAACTTTGCTTGATAGTCCGGCTTTGTTCAAAATGTTGTGAAATTTGAATGTATCGTAATACCTCACCTGCATGGCACTTCTTGGACAGTCTAGTTGATCCATACAAAGGATGATACAGAAACATATGATTTGCATTTGGAATGAAAGGCTGAGATCGAAGGAACAAACCTCACCCTACCGTGACTCTTCAGTAAGGTCGCCTGAATATACAACTTCAAGAGACCTAGTAGCACCAAACTGGGATTTACCCCTCTCCTGAAACTGACTGCTTGTAATAGAGTTTATTATGCCAATATGCTAAGTATATTCGCCAAGAATGCGACAGAATTAAACGAGAACGTAGAAATTAGACAAAATGAAAGTGTGTGGTGTTTTTAGTCTACTTCCACGTAACCGGACAAGAGGAGACTCCGGAGAAACCTATCACTCAAATTCTCCCATAAAAACATCTGACCAATCATTTACTGGCCATTCACTACAACTGACGGAAGATTTGATTGGCTGGCATGACGACGCTTATCACATGAATGTAATAAATTTCGAAGCTAATCGTTCGACTTCTCGCCAAACTGCCCAATCCAATGTCCACTGTTTTAAGCTGTATAGTCACCATCATATGCATCATCGGTGTGGTCTTTAACCTCATCGTCTTCCGAGTCTTGTTTACCGTACGAATAAGTTCTGAAGTGACTAGTGGCCTGCTGCGGTTTGAGTGTTTCATCTGCGCCTGCTCTTGCCTATTCGCTTTGTTATCCACTCACATTCGTATTTCCATTCCATCGGGGCTCAGAATTCTAGATCTTGTAGCATGCTATTGTTGGGAAAATTTTGCTGCCATCTGGTTTTGGATCACATGGAGTATCTCTGGTATGGTCTGCCTCAACCTGGAACGTGTAATCGCTATTTATTTTCCCCTAATATATCGAGCACACCCCAGGCGCCTACTTCTAATTGCCGTTATCTACTGGGTGATGATGTGGCCACTGGCCTATGTGTCCATTCCAATACACCGGACTTATTCCAACGGAACTTGTGTGATCACCTATACATTTGCGGAGGACTGGCGCCAACTTGCCTTCAAAACCTATATCTTTTCGTGGTGTGTTTTAATGTACGTCATACCGGGCTTGGTACTAGTGGTTACTCAAACGCTGGTAATTTGGAGAATAAGAAAGAAATCACTTTCCTATGCAAACCAAAAAACTATTCAGCCTACAGGTGAACTACAAGTGGCACTTGATGAACATGTGAAACGTCTGATCTGGACCACGGTAGCAATGAGTTCATTTTTTCTTTTCCTACACCTGCCCGACACATTGCTGAAATTCCTCAATGCAGTGCGCGCCATCCGTTTGGAACCCGGATCAATCACGGAGATGTTTGGCACAGTTAGCATCCTTTCTTGCGATGCCTTTTACCCGATACTGTTGATTTGTATGACATCGACACTGAAAGCTTACGTTAAATGCAAGCTGGTCTGTGGAGTGGCTCATATTGCACGCTATTGTCGCATCAGATGCCAACGACGTGTACAGTTTGAAGTGTCTGTGTGACATCTATCCATCTAGTTTGTTGACATTGCGTGTTCTTGGGGACCAACCTGTGATCTTGCCACGACGAAAAACTTGATCTATTCCATCAACACTTTTGACGGCGCGGATTCACTCAATGACATTCGTTTCATCAGAATTTTTTATTCCAGATGTTGTTTTTTACTTGTCACTGTTGCTTATCGCACCATTATTTCTGCGCATGTCATCCTACCAAAGTAAACAAATGTGTGTACGAGTGATCCGGTAAGTATACTTTTGAGATGCAATCGGGCGTTATGAAATAATAATAACACAAAGGACTTTTATGCAAACATACTGAAATGTAACTGACGTGCTCACGTTGCTCAACCTCCTCATCGTCGTCATCAGCAACATCACACTATTATCCAGAGAAAAAATCTGTCAACAGTAAATTCGGATGCTTAATTGTCATAGACTATCTGCTGTTAACTATGAACTCGTCAGTCTATCTGCGACGGGGATGATTATCAATGATTACCATTGGAGCGTGTGGTTGAACTATGCCGTGAAAGTTAGAATCCGTAGGATTTATTTTATACCGGCGACCCGGTATAAGTCGGTCTCAGTTTTTTCCGTACAATGTGAGGCTGATTTCTGACTGAGAACTAATCACTTCAGTCTGCATCCGATTGTTGACATTCCACAACCAAGATACTGCAGGCAGCCAGAATTGGATGAGGCATGGTACCTCCCGCAGTAATTGCTCTACAAATCCTCCGGCTACAGATGCGAGCGTTATTTACCGATCAGGTATCTATCACTTGGACCCATTTTTTACCCTGCTGTGCAGCTATTTGCTGCTACTCTGCTCCGAGACGATCTCGCTGACTGACCCTTAAAATTCGAAATGCAAAACAAACGAGGGAGAGCTAGATATACAAAGGAGCGTAAGTGTTCCGTATACTTCATCAGTCTTTACCGGCATCCACTAGCCAACATACTTACAGGTCGAAGTTGTTCGCTTTTGTCAGCACAAAACAACGCTTTAGGTAAGTTTGTACACTGTGAAGTGTCTACTAAAAACTAGGGATTGTTACTCTTAACTTTTGGAGGAGAACTGCTACAAATTTGTTACAATTAACGCTGTTAAAATATTTCCATTAAACTACTGGTTAGAAAAGCTTCACTTGGGACATACTGGTTTCTCATCCCACCATTGTGACACTATTCTGCCTGATCAATATGGTACTGCTCAAGTGAATCGAGCATCCCTTCCCGTCTCTGTGAGAGTCTGTGAAGTGTCCACTCCTCCGCTTCTTAGTGAGCCTATGTTGAGCAGCTGAGTACTGTAATTAGGACATGAACCATAACCACCACAAAATTTGCTGAATTCAGATTGCTTTATGACTGACGCTTAGACATTCCGGAGCATGTTTTCAGCAAATTCAATGACGACGACAAATTCACTCTTCTAATCAACAATTTTCAACCTTGACTTTGCATCGGATTTGGCTTAAAAACTTATCTTTCGGTGGCTAGCTTAACTTGAACCGCGCTTAAGGTTCAGACATCAGACCTGGCGCTGCGTTCAAGAAGCTAGTCCACAGGAGCACACCTCAAGCAGATAGAAACTCTTGTACTGTACTGTAGTGTACTGTACTGTACTGTACTGTACTGTACTGTACTACACACATTTGTTTCATTAATAGAAGCTGAAAAATTGTGCCTCACTTCAAAACACATCTTTCCTTTTTATTGTCACATAGACAGTGTGACAGAGCATCAACTGAGCTTTACCAGACCATCAGGTTGATGGTCTCCTAATGGAGTCCTCGGACCCCTCCCTGACTTCTTATAGAGTTTTGAGCTTGAGCATTCCGTAGATATTTGTTTCTGAGAGTCTGATGGATCGGATCGATTTCCATCCTTTTGTTGATTTCTTCCTCACTCGAGCAGTGCGCCTCCGAGAAATTCACATTCATTCCTTGTTTTTTGGGCACTGGCTCAGCCAAATTTAAATCCACCCTGATTCCCGTGTATGGCACCAGTTAGCGCTAAGTGGGCGCTTTCCTCCTTTACCACTGGGGCGTTTGATACAGTGTTTTCAGTAGACTTTGTGCATAACACTTGACTTATTCACTGTTTCCACCTTCCATCCAAGCTTCGATGGTGTTTTTCGAAGTGTTTGCTTTCTACCGTTACGTCATCTAAACACTCTTTCACTCATTTCCGAAAGTTCGAACTTTCAATTCGCCTTTCTTGTTCCGTTTCCGAGTGGATTGGTTTGCTTCCTATCATGGATCTTTAACCAGTTCCTCTCGGGTAATTTTGGGTAGTTTGCATAGACGTTTTCTGCTGGGACTTTGTTTTGCTGTGTTTGAAGTATGTTTCAGTAGATTTGAGTGGCGTCCGAGTGTGGATTTGGTTCCGGCAGTCCCGATGAAAGGAAGGCCATCGCTGCGGAGTTATTTATTAGAAAACGCCACCTGAACGGTTACAGACTATTGGACAGGGAAGTAAAACTCTCATATGCATCTTGTTTACAAAAACCGAATATCCATCTTCTCCTTGAACGCGTCTTTCTAAACTTTCCTGGATATTCATTGACTGTTGCTGGAATCCAAGCAAAGGATACAAAGCGACTCTACATATTCCGTAATTAATCTCACTTTTCAAGAAACGCAAAGCGGGTTTACGCGAAAACATACTACTCGCAAGCCCTCCCATCAGTAGTGCCACCGTTACACCGGTAGTTACGGAAGTAGAAAGAGACTTGGTGCGTGTCAGACGCTTTTCTGTGGGTTTCAGCTGGTAGTTGTCCCTTCAAGAGAATATCACCTACAAAAAATGCCTTTTTTAAGTTGTTTCCCTTTTCGTATTTGGATTTATTCTCGACGAAAATGTTGTTTCCGATACCCGACCTGTTCGCTACATTTATTTGCGAAAACGAAAGTTTCTTCCACTCACTGAGTCCCAGGTTTTGAAATTGTATCGTGAAGCACACCCGTTCCAGTTTCGCAATGTCATCTCAACTAGCACTTTATATAGTTTTTATTCTCAGCTGTCGAATCAAATTCCTAAAATGTGACTGGGTAGAGTTTGAACAGCTCGCAGATGTTGGAATTCTCTGGGAGTCATCTTCGAACCCTTAGCCGTCAAAGCCTTCAGCTACAGTTCTCCTCGCGTGGTTCCGGTCAAAAGAAAGTTGGTAACTTCCTTACGGATAACACCCAAGTCAGATCAAGAACCACGAGAATTGTCCAGTTGGAACCTCGGAGCAGAGCGACTGTAAGGAAAATAACTCGGAAATCGAGCGGGTGCGAGCAAACGGGAACGTAAAGCGACACAAAATCCAAACCAACTAATCAAATCATGCGCAAACAAAACTTCTTCCAACCAGTCAAGTTGGACTGGTTGCAAAATATCTTGTAAAACTATGCAGCCACATTTAGACCTGAGGAAAGTACCCACTGAATAACGCTTTTAGTACGGTGACGACACGTTCTCAACCTGACTAGCATGCTTTGCGCCCTAATCCATGACCGGCTGATCGGTTGTTAATTATTTTTTCATTTATTTTCAGATAGAATTCACGTGGTTGAAGCCACTCAGCCTGCGCACACAGTTCCTGTGGACATTTATTTCATATTCCGAAGACTGAAGTTCGTTTGCACTCCGGTTAGGCTGAGTGATATTTATTTCGACGTAATATTTCTTGGGATATTCCAACTGGTGTACGTCATAAGGATCGATAGATGAAACCACTCCAGATTGTTCGAAACTTTCTCACCACTCACTTGAGCAATTGTTCATCACACTGTGACAGACCTCAAAGAGGGTTAACAAAATACCACAACTCGAACCAATCTGATGAAATCCGTGTAACTGAAACTCCGATCAGAGGTACTGCTGAAATCACACACAGAAGGGAGTTTGGGTAGTTCAGTTTGTCACGTCGGTGATCGAGTTGTTCCCTGAGCCTGACAGAGTTTACAAACGTATCGTTATCAGGGAAGATATCATCATCAAAAGCTTGTTGTGAATCGAAACGAATCCGCTGGGTGGTGATTGTCCTTTGAGCAGTGGTAGGTCTGAATTCATTTGCGTCCTTCTGAAGAAGGTGCACTCCGATTATTATTCGTTGTTCAGATGGGTAATCCTATCAATAGGATTTTTCGTCCCTGGGTTGATTCGTTGGCGTTCATGTGACCTTCAACTTGACCTCTCCGATTCGCACGCCGTAACCTCCACTGAACAGTTGATTCTGTCGCATTATCCACTAGCGTTTGTGTCGTTCAATTCAGTTTCACTGTCCTGTTTTTAGCGATGCATACAGTTGGTCCTGTTCAAGCGTTGGTTAATTCAATTCCTCTTGGAGTATCGCCCTTCCAATGTTTAACACGTCAAACATTCAGAATCTCTACGTCTTCCATGCGGAAATATTTCTCATCGTGGATTTTGTGAGCAGAAGCCCAAGAAAATCGGTCGAGCCTTTTACGAAGGTCGTTTTGTGATCGTTACTCCTCGGAGGACGTCAACTTCCTGTTTATCCTGCTTGCATTCACTGCTTTCTATCTGGTGGATAATATTGTTGTTGTTTTTTGCCTTGTCGGGTCTTCTCATTTGTTTTTGAAATCAGTCTCCTCAAGTCAACCTTTGGTTTACCAGCCACTGAAATTGGATTTTTTGCAATATTTTTGTTTTGATGTATGGGAGTAATATTCGTTCAGATGATTATTCCGGCCATTGTTGTTGCATCCTCCTGGGTTGTCGTCAAAACAACAAATTGTANGGTAGGTCTGAATCTATTTGCGTCCTTCTGAAGAAGGTGCACTCCGATTATTATTCGTTGTTCAGATGGGTAATCTTATCAATAGGATTTTTCGTCCGTGGGTTGATTCGTCGGCGTTCATGTGACCTTCAACTTGACCTCTCCGATTCGCACGCCGTAACCTCCATTGAACAATTGATTCTGTCGCATTATCCACTAGCGTTTGTGTCGTTCAATTCAGTTTCACTGTCCTGTTTTTAGCGATGCACAC